CCAGGATGACCGTGTAAATGCATGAAATAATAAATCTATAACCTCATGTGTAGGCATCAGCGACCTCTGATCCCCTGTCTGCAGATGCACAATGCTTGTGCTACCCCGTGCTGTGAATTGGGACTCTGTTTGTTTTGATGGCTTTGCGAGCTGATGAGTAATGCAATTGTAATCCGTGAGAGACTCTTTGAGCCACAGTGTTGTGCACAGAGACGCTCGTAAAATTATGTTGGTGTGTTCCCTTCACTTTAGGTCAGCTTTGCTGTGGGTGTGTGTCCATATCTGCCAACTAACACTTACATAACCGCAAGGATCCAAGTGTGGGTGTGAACTCAGCACTGACAATCACATGTGATGCTCCAACTCCGGCAAATGATTTACACCTCAAACTTCTATTTCAGGTTCACCTAAAGACAACTTAATCACTTTGCCTGCATGCAAAGTTGGCCGAGACAAAGTGAGACTTGTTCTTTTGCTGCCACGCCTCGAGTCCCTGTCAGATTTCCAGTGGTGTTGTTTATTTTTCAGCCCATAGGTAGGAACAGAGTGGATAGACTTAGGAGGAATTAGCAGGAGGATGTGGAGATAAACAGAGGCAGAGCCGTGGACATGCACAGGCAGCAGGAGTGTGTGTGCCTCAGAGTGAACTCTGGGCCTGGGTGTGCATGTATGAGCTCGCCTGTTAAGACTGAGAAGCTGAGCTGCACAGAAGTACAACACTGATGATGCCACAGTGTGTGGTTTAGTTTAGTCAATGACAAAGGCATGCACCCACACACGATATAAAAGGCAGCTCAGCTTGATAGCGCAGTGAATTCATAAGTGCATTCAGTAAAAAAGGAAGAAGCATAAATCCTATGCTCAAAAGCTCCTTTCATTACATTCTGCACTCAGTCTTTAGAAATATGCTTGAGCCCAGTCGTGTCGTTTCATGAGTAAGAAAAAGAGCGTGTCACCAACCAAATCCTGTTCAAAACTCTAACGCCCTGCATCCAACCACCCCAACGGAGCTTTACACGGTCGTTACATCAATATGAAGTCGTCATTTATACAGAACAGCACATAACACACAACAATCACTGATATTACTTCTCTTCAAAAAGTTCCACCCGCCTCTTTACTCTGTTTAAAGCAGCAGGTGGGCGCGAAGCAGCTGTAAACCACGTATAAATGGCGAAACGAGTGAAATATCTCAGTGCCGAATACGATGCAATAATGTGATAAATGTTCACAACGTTTCTCTCGGCTGTGAGGTGTTTGTGCGTTTCAAGCACACCGCTGCTTCTGTAAAAATAGATGTTTTTTAAACGCGGTTTGGCACGGAGGCTTCTCTTTCCTCTCGCTTCGCAGTTAAAAAGGCAAAACGAGGCTAACACGGCATACAGGAGCGGCTAACATGTCGTTTTAAAAGCCTCATAAATACTAGATAAACACAGGGTGGTTGGTAAAGTTGACTTTCGGGAGCTTTCCACCTACCTTGCAGTTGTAGCCCGTGTCCTTGTTGCTGCTGCTGCTGGTGGTGTCCCGTACAGAGGCGTAGCTGTCTCTCCTCCTACAACTCTGAGCTCTCCTGCGTCACTTGTTGACATCCTATTTTAACCGGTTAAGTAAGCCTTCAGCATTCAGACTGGATTTAGAGAACATCTTAAAAATTTGGTGCGGAATTTAGTCCAAATTTCCCATGAGAACAGCCCAGGTACCCGTGACCGGGAGAACCACTCACTGCTGGTTAAAGGTCAACTCTTCCCGTGACGAACAGGTGAGCGGCGGGCAAATGAGCCCGGGCAAACAGACCTGCTGCTGAGGCTCTTATCTAGAAACGTCACCCACTTGGATCATTTCCTTCTCTGGTCACTTTGAGGAAAAAACTGCCATTAATGCTTCCTGGCAGCATGCCCTGGAGGCACACCTTTGAACAAAGAAGGAAAGTACTTTTACAAGGCCCTCTGTCAGGGGCGTTTGCAGGATTATTTTGTAATGGGGTGACAGTACAAAGAAGAAAGAGAAATCTGAATAGCTGATCAGAAAAAGAGTGTACAGTAGAAAAATTGGATTACAGTACAGTTGGCAAAACTTAATTTTTACTTGAAAGTCATAATCCTGCTTAATTGGCCTAACATTACAAATGTCCATAAAAATGTCTTCAAACTAATCTAAGGTGGAGCCCCCCATGCCCAAACTGCATTCTGCAGACCTTGTGCTATGTGGTAGAGGTGGAGCAGATTGATCCAGATATGACAGCATTGTTACTAACCTGGTATTGGTATCAGATAGGATTGATTCATTGTTTCTAAACCCAGTATGTAGCCCACTGAACTGTGTTACATTAAATAGGTTTTTTTTTGGAAATGAAGAAAATATACTTCAAACAGACACTATTGTGTGATGTCACGTCTATTGTATTTATAGCCTATAGCACATTTAATTAACAAGTTTCAAAATGCATGAAAAGCTAAAAGGTGTGGTTAACTAATTGTTGTGAGAAGTAAAAGCAACAGTGATTTTGTGGTCGGTAAAATGTGTTCAGAAATTTGCAAACTGATGATGATTCATCTCACAAATCCTGACACATTGCTCTCCCCTATATGAGCAGGCTTTATAGGATAAAGGATTTGGTATCTCTGAGAATTCTGGCCTTGTATTCACTTGATATCGGATCAGTGCCAAACAATGCCTAACTCTCCATTTGAGGTTATTTATGATACAAAAACACACACTTAGGTTTATTCTTTCAATTTCTTTGAAAAATAGTATTGCAGTCATTTTCCTGTTGCAGTCAGTCCTTGGGTTTTTCCAAAGAGGTGTTCTGGGTTATTTGTTCTCTCACTCAACAGTTTTCTCTTTCTATTTCTTTGCAAAATCATTTCACATGTGGCTTTTCTGGTTTTTTGTTGATTCATTGTTCGTCCTTTCAGGCTCACAGCTTTCACACCAACTGCCAGAAACAGTTTCTGCATGGATAACAGCACCATCTTCCTGCTCTGCCACACTATTGTTGCAACATTTTGTTGCCCATGTGAGAAGGAATGCAGGAGGTTGTTCTTTGTACAAGGATCAAAGTGAAAATGTAAATTTACTGGTGTCAATCAACGTAAAACCAAAAGCAAAATATGAAAATAAGCTGCAAAAGGTCTGGTTAGTGGGCTAAAACCTCAACAGAGTAGAACCAGTTTCACTATAAATTAAAGGTGCAATGTGAAAAATCTCACCACTAGATGTTAGTAGTTCACTGTCAGCTAAGTTCTTTTTTCTTACCCCTGCCAAGTGCATAATCCTATCTACAGTAGTTGCTGTAGGACAAATAACTGGCTGCCATTCATCTGTAGTGAGTTCGGTTGTCAGTCTGCTGTTTACCTCAGCTCGCAGTATTTGCCCACGTCTATTTACTCTGGAGGAGGCTGTAAACCTTTGTGAAAGGAGTCCCAGTTGATGAGTCAGTGAAGCTCACTTCTATCCAATGACAGCAGCGGTGAGGTGAGCTGTTGAGGATATCCTACATTTTCCTGTAGGTCAAAACTGATATTTTTGCAGCTGTTAGCCTCTGCTAGATGCTTTTATCCAGCACAAATTTTATTTGAAATAGAGCTACCGTTGTTGGGCACGTAGCAAATAAACTCTCATTTGATGTGAGAATTAAATCAAACTGGGTAGGCGTTTATAATAATGTCACACTATTCAGCTTTACTAGGGTATTAATAAGGCATTAACAAGTACTTAATTCATCATTGTTATAGCATTAATCTTCCTTCATAAATACCAAAATTCTGACTATGATTGTTGCTCTCAGTGACGTAGCAGCAGTGATAGCTGCTCACGGTGTAACAGTAATAGATGGATAAACATATGTGTATTTATAAATGACACAATAACGAGGATATTGGTCGCCAGTCTCTAGCCGAATACATAAAACATAAGTAAGCAGATATCCATTTTGACCACTATATTTAACATGGCATCTACAAACCGTGCCTACTCCTATGTATTTTCAATGGATTAATAATAAGCTTATGACAATTCAATTCAGTTCAATTTATATAGTGCCAAATCACAACAAAAGTCGCCTCAAGGCGCTTCATAGATACAGAGAAAAACCCAACAATCATATGACCCGCTATGAGCAAGCACTTTGGCGACAGTGGGAAGGAAAAACTCCCTTTTAACAGGAAGAAACCTCCGGCAGAACCAGGCTCAGGGAGGGGCGGCCATCTGCTGCGACCGGTTGGGGCGAGAGAAGAAAAACAGGACAAATACATGCTGTGGAAGAGAGACAGAGGTTAATAACAGATATGATTCAATGCAGAGAGGTCTATTAATACAGCGGTCCTCAACCCCCGGGCCTCGGACCGGTACCGGTCCGTGAGTCGTCACTCTGAGACAGGATATTTCTAATTTTAGAGATAGATTTAGAGACAATCCATCAGTTTTTTAGAAGACAGTAATCAGGTTATATTTATGAGTGCAATAACTATTTTTTATAGTCTAAAAAATAATTTACTGCACCTTAAGCTTGCAAAACAGAGCTACTGTTAGACCTTAACAGTTAACTACAGAGCAATGCCAATACTCTATACTAATTAAACTGGCTGATCCACTTTGTTAAATAGACTAAATGGGGGGAGGCAAAAGGGCTTTCCGTCAAAATCCTTTAAATCCAAACACAATCAGGACATGTTTCATTTGAATTTGAGTGCGCTCGGCTGTTGCGTAATCTTAATGTTACACAAGGCTTTAATCATTTTCTGTTTTTAATCCAGGCAGACTGATTGATAGTGCAGTGTGAAAAGAAACCATACGAGGTCAGTATTGCTTCATCGAAAGAAAGTTTGGGTCGTTGTGACCTAAAGTGGAGCAACATTTAGACCATCGGAGCTACACGATAATTAAAACGTACAAATATGACTATTTCATTTCATTTGAAAAGACTATGAAAGCTCTTTTAAGCCGCATTATGTGAGCATGCGTTCAAATACAGAATAGGCCTATTATTGGAGAGATGGTGGTGGGGAGGTGACCTGCTTTTATTTGCTCCTGATGAATCCTTATGTCATTTACATATCAACTACAATTCCGCGTCTCACTTTTAAATGTCTCCAGTCGCCTGCTGAGAATTAATTGGTAACCACTGTGTGATCCGGTGTGACTGCGCCCCTCCCCTCCCTCCCGAGGATGCAGGACGGGTTTACGGTCCTGAGTTCTGACTCCTGACGGCACAGAGAAGCTCCGCGATCATCACGAGGACAGTCCATAATCGCGCTCTGGCATCTGATTTCTTTCTTTTAATTTCTTTCTTTTTCTTTTTTTTTTTTCTTGCGCCTTTTCTTCCCCCCTTAAAAAACACCCTTCTTCTCTGACAGCATGAAGGAACTCGCTCTTTTGGGATAATTTCAAGTATGGATCGCTTCAAATGTACATTTCCGCGGAGCTGCAGCTGAGCTTTCGTTCAAGGCTGACTGGATTCTCGCAGCGTGATGGATATAAATGAGTTCGCGGTGCTGAAACTTTTTGTTGTTGGGGTTTTAAGTGAGTATTTGATTGACTGTTTTTATTTAACTATCATTGAAATCTCCTCCTCATCCTGTCTGAGCTGTAACAGAAATTGCTTCACATAAAAACAGCTCTTTGCAGCCAGAGTTGTTTTCCATGTATCTTCATATATGCGCACTGGAGCAGGATGCTATTCTCTGATTCCGTGCTGCACATTTACACCTGCAAATGCAAATACCCCTGCGTTGGTCTGTTATATTAATGCGCTCCTCTGCACTGCCCAGCTGCAGAGCGTACACAGTCTCTTCTCTAGGAAGTGTCAGGAACATCTATCATATCTCATAACTCATGCACTGAAGGGAGGATAAGCAGTGTTGCATCACGGCATCATGCCCCAGTGGACAGACCTGACCTATATATCAGGGCCAGTGTTTTTTTTATTTCTTTTTCTGGTACAATAAAATCATGTATGAAATCAGGTTTCCGTGGGGTGCCAAATGTAGATGTTCTGATGGATGGGTTGCGTTTTGCTCTGTACTGACAGAGTGCTCAGTGGTGGCTGCCATCAGTTATAATGTGAACCTCAATAACCTGCTGTTGTGACGGAGCCCTTTTGACAGCCTATAACCTATAACAATCAAAATCAGGGAGGTATAATCCACATAATGACTCGGTGATGAAGAGGAGTTCAGTTGCAGAGACTCTTTCCACGATCTATTGAGCTGTTATATTGTTTTGGCACCATCTTGACACTCACTGAAAATACCCAGGTTTTGATTTTTAAGGACTTCTTTTCTAGTAGCTACCTCTGTACACCTGAGGTGGATAAAAGAAAAAAGCTGTGTCTAACACACTGCAGAAAGTTCTTTTTAATGACATTTTAATGCCAGTTAAGCTTGCTGTATGCTGAAGGATGTGGTCAGTGTCTTGCCAGGACCTTCAGCCCACAGTCCCCTGGACCTCTGCCATGTAACAGCTGTCAGGGCTGTAAGGCCAAGAAAAACTTAGATGGACATTTTCTGACAAGATCATCCTTCCAAAATTCCCAGTCTGCTGCAATAAAAAGCCAAAGAAAAATAAATATTATTATGCATGCACTCAGACTGGAGAGATGGCGGAATAGCCGCAGATGCTGCTACAACAAGTTATATTCCCATGATGTAAGGACGCACAGCAGCGGTTTCCTGTGACAGCTCTTGTCTGCACCAAAAGATTTTCCCATCAAGCTCCCTATTAGGGAGAGAAAGCAGATGCCGTGCGTTCAAAGAAAACCCGAACACACTGCACTGAGTTGCCACCAATTGTTTTCTTTTAGTGGAGGTCTGGCGTATTGGGTGCAGCCGAAAGTAGAGGAGAGGGTCCCCATCTGTGCTGCAGAAAGAGAGTGATTCCCCCTGACTGTGAGGCATCTGCTAAGCCCAGTAAACAGTTATTCATACTTTCTGACAGTGAGGGGAAAAAGCCCCGGGGCCCCTCTGTTTCAGCACCATGTGAAGAAGAAGAAGAAACGAAGAAAAAAATGCTGTGAAGATGTGTTTTAAAGCTCTTTTAAAATGCTATTCATAGACCTGCTGGGAGATTATAGCATGGAGCTCTTTTTTTAATGCATGCGGCTGCTGTCTTATCATCTAGACGAGGCAGACATTCACTGCTGTTTAGGAATCAAGAGAAGTCATTTTTATTAATGCTGACTGCTGAAGCAAATAAGGAATAAAGGAAAATGCAACTTAAGGCAAAAAAAGAGGAAGCATATTTTCATTACAGTATTTTCTCACCATTCACTGACAGGGAACCAACAATAACCATGTTTTTACAGGCTCCCTCAGCTCTAGCTCACACTATCTTCGAACATTTTACTAGTGCAAAACTGACGTGACAGAACAAATAAATGCCACTGCCACTGGTCAGTGTCATCAAGGGTGGGAGCAGTCAGCAAAGCCAAACTCAGCTTAGACCAGGCTTAGGCTGAAATATTTGTTTCATCCCTGGGGTGAATAAAAAAAAATTAAGCTTGTTTTTGCTTTCTTGTCAACATATTCCACAAAAAGCCAAAGCCAGCTGTTGGATTTGAGTTGACTTGACTGATTTTGAAAATGATGTGCTCTGATTAAAGCCGCTTCACCATGGTGAAGCTGGTCCCAGAAGCTAAGCAGTGTTGCGCCTGGTTAGTACTAGGATGGGAGACAGCCTGGGGATACCAGGTGCTGCAAGACTGTGGGTGGTTCAGGAGAAGGAGAGCTCTGAGGTGTTTTCCTTCGCAGTGAGAAAGTATGAATGGGGTAAGCAAGTTGGAAGTTTGGTAGTTAGATCCCTGGCTCTGTAGTCTACATGGGGAAGATACTGAAACATTTGATGTGCATGGCTTTAAGGCAGAGAGCTCTTACACTTAGAAAAGTACTCTATGTGCTTTCATGAATGAGCCATGTTACATACAGAGTAGAAAAGCACTATATAAGAACCAGTCCGTTTACCAAAAAAACCCCAACCTCTTATTTCTGAAGCTAAGTGTGGCTATTAAAAGCTCACTGGCTTATTTGATATCATGGTATTGCCTTAAAACAAGGTTGTGAAAAAAAAACAAACATGTTTTGAAATATATGCTTTTCACAAGATCCAGCCAATTTAAAAATAATCCCGTGTCCTTAGCAGAGATGAATGGCCTCAAGCTTGACAGTAACACGCTGCTAGTTTTCATCTTTTTATGAGATTTGTTAAGAAAAATATCGGTTACAATGGTGAGACACACCAGCTGTTCCCACAGGTGAAGTGTCATAAGACTGTCCGACGCTGCAGTCCTCTGCCGGGTTAATCTGGCGTCATTATACTCAGGAAAGGGCACGTTTGAGTGAAAACCGATGGTGTGAGAAAGCTTTCAGTTTTGCTCGTGAACGAGTCGCTGTTACTGCTCAGCTGTAACAGCGGTGACAGCGTGTTCAGAGTGTTGTTAATCTTTCAGATGCCTGTTAAAGTTTCATGCACCATGAGGGGCTTGAACTTTGTCTCCCCGCTCATCCTGCTCATATCAAAGTCTAATGCCGAGGTCTTCCTGAGTCCGGGCTACTGTGCAGTGTTGGTGATGGACCCATTAGTCATGTCTGTCTCTTTAAGGTTTTTCACTCAAAAAACCTATTTACATGTGCATTAGTGATTCATAGATGAAACAAGTAAACATAAAGGTTATCATGTAGTAAAAATGCTGAAATGTTTTCCTTCTCACCGATCTAAATGATGCAGCCCCACAGGAAAAACTGCACGATTGAGGACTGAAGCTTAATGGAGATGAAGAAAAGCTCGATGTGCTCTTTGAGGCACAAAAGCTCCTGCAGGTCAAATAATATGAGGACTGCAAACCAGCAGCTCATTAGCTAATATTTACAGCAGCCGTCATTGCTGCTTGTTTCACAGCTACACAGCAAGAGGGCAGAGTTACCTGGAGACCGGACAGAGGGAAGGTTTCTCGCCTGCAGATCCGGCTCTAATGAGCTCGACTGGAAATGGGAAGTAAGCTGAATGTGTAATGATAGACCGACACCAGTTACTGAAGCCAGGCTTAATGACAATGTGCCATTTTATCCACAGAGGACAAAATATTTTCAGTCGCCCAGTCACTTAGTAAAAATACATACAGTTTATTTCTATAGCACATTGTTCTGTACAAGTTGTACAAAACTTTCACTACGCATTACAGTCACTAAACCGACAAGAAATATAGAGTAAAAATCAAATAAAACAAGACTGCTGAACTAGAACCGGTAAACTGGTTTTTAACAGTGTTTTAAAGTGATTGAGAGACTGAGCAGCTCTTATGTGACACAAGAAAAGCCTCTGTCGCTTCTGCTTTTAAACTTGGATCTAGGAATATTTTAGACCAGCTAGTTGTAGACCTTAGTGCTCTTTATATAATGCAGTTGACAAAGTCACAACTGAGCCAACATCTAAAGGATTACAATAGTCTAATCAAGAGGTAATAAAAGCATGAATTACTCTCTCAAAGTCATGTTGCTTGGAGGCGTACCTCACCTTACAGAAGAGCCTTTGAAATACACTTGTCTTAACAACAGATCTAATCTGTTCATCGGATTTTAAAGCACAGTGAAAAATCACACCAGTGACATGTGGCAGTAACACGTTGAGAGGCCTGTCTTAGCTGTCATACCCATCTAACAGGCTGGATTGCTGGAAGTAAATAATTTCTCTGTTGGTTTTGTTCAGATTGAGGAAGCTTATCTCCAACCATAACTGTACATCTTTAGGACAGTTCACCAGAGCCTGAAAGGAAGCATGGCTGTTTGCTTGTGTCGAAGCTGTTTGTTTAGGTTTCTTCAGCACAGAAAGGGGTTTGCAGCAGCTGTGAGAAGGGATCATTCACAAGGCCTGCAAGATCTGCGATGCTGATGATATCACAAACTGTTGTATCGTGCAGATCTAAGACATTAGAAAGGGAAGAGACAGTTTAGAAATGTTATAGAGGAAGAGGGCCTTGAACAGGGATTGGGTAAAGTTTTATGGTCAATCAAACTTTGTCTTATAGTAGTTTTGTTGTATTTGTGATGATTTTGGCTACTGCCATTAAACTATGTACAGGGAAAGATTTCAGTCAAAGTAATCAAAGTCAGCTTCAGTTGTGCAGTGAGAACTGGACACGTGAAAGAAGTCTGATGAAACCCCTCGAGTGCTGCCACTTGAATCAGAATGAGTTTCAAAATGGCCAAAAAAAGGAGAAGAAATCTGTGGTCGTGGACGCAGAGCCAAGAAACCTCACAAGAACTCTTCATCTCCCTCCTCATTTCATTTCTACTTGAAGCAAAACCTGGAGAATAAATTATCCCCGGCTTGCGTAACACAAGTCTGCAACAGAGCCCCCCGTGGCTTATTTGCAGCGGTGTGTGTGTGTGTGTGTGTGTGGGGTTATCTGTCAGCTTCTGACAAGGAAGAAGATTGTGAAATGAAAATGATGATTTCTCTGATTCTGTTCGACATATTTTAAAACCCTATTCTGACCTTTCCATTTGGAGTCTTGTAGAGTTACTGGAGTC